AGAATGTCATCGTACAGAGCGCTCTCCTCCTCGATAATCTTCTGATGATGCAGTGAACCTGGCCTACCCACAGAAAATAGAAGAGTGTAGTTGTACTAAAATTTCACTCATTTGGAGTACCTATCTCATACTCGAAAACGAGCGAAGTAATCACTTTTCTTCTCAATTGTCCTGCGCCATACGTATTTCTCCAATCAGTTCTCGATTGGTCATCATCTGCTCTCACGTGGACAACCACTACGAAGTCGACCTCTGCACAAACGGAAACCCTTGGCACGATGCTGCAGTTGATCGGAGACAGTCGCTGAAACTCGAAATTATTTAAGCGCATTCCACTCCGCTAGGATTCAAAAATGATATTTGGGTTTTAGCAGAAGGAGAAACACACTGAACCTAAACGCCCCATATGAGTAGGGTCCTCTTTCTCGCTGTCGCTCTGAGTGAAATATTTGAGTGGGAAAAGCGGGCGCGTGAATGAGAGACTAGACGACTTAGGGCGTGAAAACACAAAAAGAGCAAAACCGATGGATTCCGCGGTACTTCCCTTGAGCGTCTTTCGTCTAAAAGTCGTTGAAAGTAGTGAAACGAACCTCTGCAACATTCTTGCCACCCACTTCTGTGCTGGGAGTGTGTCACAGGCTCTGAGAACCCCGACGCGGCTACCTCACACGCGCACGGAACACTTTGATTCAACGGATCATGAACTGTGCCTTTTAGATTATGGATTCACGAACTAAAAGCTGGGTGGATTTCGTGACGATGATGTCGGAATGGGGTTATTACAAGGTCTTTTCGAAGTTGCTGAAAGGTAAAGTGTAAAACCAACTGGATCGAGAAAAGATTGTTTCATGTGCAACCGCCACATCCGCACATTTGTCCTATCCACCGCAAGTTGCCGGGAATACCGCTCATAATACTGGTTGTTGATGGTCTGCTCGAAGAGCTCAATGAATACTGGCACTCGCTCTACTCCCTGAAAAGTAGCTCGAGTTCAGCTTTGTCACCGTACCTAAAATGCCCGTAAGGGGGCGGTTCAAAACATCTCTGTAGTTTCATAATTGAGTGGTCCGAATGGTAGCGCCTTTTAGAGATACTCTGTGAACTCACTTCAGAAACCGTGGGCTTTGCCATGTGGGAGAGCGAGTCCGTAGCTGTATCGTAGAGAGTCGCATTTGAGTCGATCTAGAGGGTAGTGTTTGGCTCGTTACATGGGGCTAGCTCATAGTGAAGGGTGACAGAATTGCACGGAATAGAGATTTTTGTGTTTTCTAGCTGTTCATTTGTAGTGCGCTATAGACTGTCTTTAATTTCAAACAACTTTCCTCCTTTCGGAGGATCGCGTAGGGGGGGCTGGATATTAGGTTTCTGTTGGGAGGAGGAGGGGGGGGGATAACGATGGAGAGAGGTACTACTATGCAACCACTTTTCCTCAGCGACATTACTCTATTTAGCAGAAGAACCGTCTGCTTTTCAAACTCGGTCTATAAAATTATTAATCTGCGGATACTCACTTACATTGTAGATCAGAAAACAGCTTCCAAAGACGGCACAAACCACAGCAAACTTCATCAGAAGTGTAAAGTACCGTCGCAGCCGTGATAACGAGAACATATACGGAATAGTACCAGCCGCTTTGAAATTGCCCATGATGCTACATGACCTAACGTATGAAAGATGCAGAGTTCATCACATCCTGCGCATGAGAATGTTCGAAATTTGACAGCGGCACCATAAAAACAACAGAAGGCTATTAAAACTTCTACAGATAATAGCGGGAAACCCACGCTTTCTCGCGAAGAGAGGTGAAGGTGGTGTAGTGACAGGTGGGACGCTTACCACGTGCACGATGCGAGGAGCAAATCCCGGATTGGTTCCCGCCCAGCCAGCCACGTCTTCTGCTCCGTGGGATGGTGAATCGGGACCAGATTCATCGGAGTTAAGCACACTGACGTGTTCATCGCCTGGCCCTAATAGTGTTTTTGTCCTGCTTTCCAAGTCATTTCTTGGAAGCAAAGTCCTATCGTTGCTGCGACGCGTGCTATGAATTTCCTGACAGACACACAAACGCACAGACAGCCATACTTTGCGGGATATAGTAGAACCAGTCGGATCGCCCCGCTGTCGCCGGGCGCAACTCCTTCTGTAACTTCTGTAACTCGTAGCGGCTTCGCCGGGCAGGCGCGGATCAGCCGCGCACTGAGTTACGGATCGTTGGCCAACCACACTGCTCAAAGGAATGCTCTGCATCAGCCAAGAAGTGAAAAGCAGCAGAAAAGACGCAGGAGCAGCAGCCCCGCCGCATCACAGAAGGAGGAGAGCCGGCCTTAGCCAGCGATCCGACTGGTACGTTCATAACCTACACGGGAATATTGCAGCCTGTTAGGTTAGCCGCTGAAGCAGCCTATGATTCATGCATTCTGTCCTCTTAAAGCGTCTTGCTTTGGAATGCACTCCCGCATTCAGCAGTGGAACGCTTTAAATGGCCCTCACTGAAGGTTGTTGATGGAAGATAATTGTGGTAAGAGTGATTAAGTCAATTGCTGCTGTTCATAACATCTCTGTAAACAAACCCCATGCATTTGGAATAGAGCTAGCTTAGCGGTCGTACATGATGTCGTTACTAATAAGCAGTGAGGAATGAGTTCTGTTGGAATCATTGAGATCGTTATACTTGAGTCATATCGATCGCATTGTTGTTGTGAGCGGTGTAAGCGGATTTTCCCATTAACTAGTCACTTCCAGCTCTGTCACTTGCTATCACTTCCATCACCCGGCAGTAATGTTCCCGTTCCATATCTTTATCATCATCCTATATCACTTCTCGGATCCAGCTCCCACTGTTGCTGTAACCTGCGTTACAAATTTGGTGATCCTCCCCTTCCGAGACCCCTTATCGGATCTTATCAACTGTTATCACTTTCTGTCACCCGCCAATAATGTTCCCGTCCCACCCCCTATATCACTTCTTGGAACCAACGTTCCACGCTTACTGCGACGCGTGCTATGAATTTCGTGACAGACAGACGGACGCACACACACACACACACACACTGACAGACATACTTATTGTTAGTGAATTATATATTGTAGGATAGTGGCATGAGTTCATTCGCCGTTGATATCAGAAAATCAGTGGATAAAGGGATGAGCTGGCATCACACTGAGCCTATTACTCTTGTCTAAAGGGGGAGCAGTATAGACTTGAGAAATGTGGTGAGTATAAATTTCATCTACTGTCTATTGTTGTCGTCACATTAGCCACAACGCAGCTCACCGAGCCTCCATCAATCTGGCACGGCACGCATCACCGAGCAGTGCTTCGCCGATCGTGGTGATGTCACGGCAACCATTAGTACCGAACGCCATTGCGGCACGGCAAAGTGACACGGCAAGCGCAACCAAGCAGTGTCTTGGCGATCATGGTGAGGACACGGCAAGAATCACAACGAAGTGGCTGGGGCACGGCAAACAAGAGTGCCCAATGTGGACAAGCAGCCTCTTACCAAGGAAGTGCGCCAACTTACCGCTTTGAAAGGAGACCTGGGTAGATCGATAGAGTCTATAAGGTTATTTACAAATATAGATAGCAACTGCAACCTGCATTTCACAAGCAACTTATGAGCAGGTAAAGTTTGTAATGGTGCAGTAGGGTGGAGGCTTGGTGGTGAGCTGTGAAGCATAAGCGAGGAATCGCATACGTCGAATCGAGTCGTGGTGGTTCAGTGGTAAGGTTCGACGTTCGACGACTCGATTCGACGTATGCGATTCCTCGCTTATGCTTCACAGCTCACCACCAAGCCTCCACCCTACTGCACCATTACAAACTTTACCTGCTCATAAGTTGCTTGTGAAATGCAGGTTGCAGTTTTGCTATCTATATTTATATCTTATAGACTCTATCGATCTACCCAGGTCTCCATTCACAGTTTCATGGTAAATGGCGGAACTTTTCCTATTAGTACTCACCATCAGCTACCACTGCTGACGACTCGGCACGCCCCTCACCGGACAATATCTTGCCAATTATGGTGATGACACGGCATCGGAACCAAACGGCGTTGGAGACGAGAGTGGCCAAGTTAGGCATGCGGCTCCACAACACACCTCAAAGGCAGTTGGTTGGTTTCCTACTTAGCCTAAAATGCTAGTAGGGCGCTGTATAGTGGGGAAATGGCGAAAGAACGGAGTGAAACGGTCAAAATCCTGCGAAGAAAAAGCCTCCGTTCTCAGTGACTTGTAAATCGATTTCGGACGAGTTTCCCGTAGGCATCTTACCAATCACCGCTACCGAAGATACGGCTGCATATGTGCACATATTTTGGTGTAGTTCGCTGCGGACGGTTGGACGTGTCAGGCGGGATGAGTTTGGCGCGTGCCAAACCCGTTCTCCACCAGTTGTTAAAGCGAGCAAATGATATGACTGTATCATATCGTTCGTATTACTCGTTTTCTACCACTTTTGTCGCATGCGCGCTTCAACAAGAAGGCAGAGAACGGCTTTGACGGGGTGACACACTCATACTGCCTGACACGCCCAACCGTCCGCAGCGAACTATGCATGCAGCATCAGGCCGCTTCATACCAATCCCTTCGCTTCATAATTTGCTTAGCAAATGAATCGATTAGAGCGTCAGGAACGGTCGTCCATTTGTGGGCGGGCGGGCGTGGCGGGCGTTTGGGACGTAATGTTGTGGCTTGATAGGGCCCTTATAAGGGCACCTTCCTCGGGGAAACCGCTATGCAGCGCCTGCCCAGGGTCGCGGAATTCTATCCTGCCAGGAGTATTGATCCTAGTCGTCTTGGGGGATTTATCGTGCCAACTGCCTTTAAGTTACTCACTATTGGTGGTGAAGCATCACCAAGCGTTAGTCGGATGTGACTTGTTGCTAAGGAGGGGCTTGAACGCGCAGATGTCTATAAGAATCACGACAAATTATTTCAATGTATTCAATGTACATATGCGAAACTGCAGTATGGTCAGAAGTTACATTCGTCTAAATGCGACGAGGAGCCCATCGGCTGGCTCAGGGAGATATTCAGTCCAAATTAGGCCTATGTCCTTACATTCATATTAAATGTAACTGCGATTCTGAGTGGGGGACGAGTACACTTCAGGTTCAGGTTGATCAGCGCCTCTGTGCTTCAGTTCCTATTGACCTCAAGTAGAGGAGGTGTACGCAAATCGACTCCCGCCCAAGCCAACCAAGCCTTCTACCCTCCGGGGACGGTGAATTGGTACCAGATTCGTCTGGGAGGATAAAACACTGACTTGTACATCGGCTGGCCACCGCAAGTCATTGTATAGGCCACATCGCATTCAATAAGCCACTACGATTCTGAATGGAAGTAGAATGCGTGCCGCATCCCACAAAGGGGTTGATCAACGGCGAAGACTTTATCCTTTATCCTTTTTTGACGTCGTTGTGGGCGGCCATCGTATTTCCTGTCATCGCCCGTTCCCCACTTCTGCGCTGGCAGGTGCTTCTGTCTTGTGTGGGTCTCTTCAGGGGTTCTTCACATGGATAAGTCTTTCATCATTGAAGCTGAACGACATCTGGGTATCGCTGCACCCTCACTTCAGAAAGGTCCCCGCGCTTACGACCCCCCTCCCTCGAGGTCAAATACGACCCCCTGTTGTGATGATCACAACGATGGCGTGCCCTGATAGTAGGTCCACTCAGGGTACAGCATTGTTGTGCGAAACCCATAGGGGGGGGGGTCGTACTTGGCCGCTGGGGTCGTAATCTCAAGGGTCACTCAGAGCCGGGCAATGCTTCGACATTTCAGTTGATAGTGGGAGTGGAGCTATGGAAGTCAAGATGTTAAAAAAATGAAAATTATTATGAGTGTATTTTACAGATTTAACTGCTACGTTTAACAGCCCTCTTTTCATGCGAAATCCCCAAAAATGGGTTCGTACTTGGCCGCGGGGGACGTGGGGAGTATCGCAAAAGTAGGCTCGCTAGGCATCAAACAGTACAAAAGTGTCATTGCTAAGTTTGATGGAACGAACGGAAATCTAGAAGACCCGGATCTAAATAGGACTA